CTCTGGGGGGGGGGGGGGGGCTTCTTTCTTTCTCTCCCTCCCCCCTCTCTCTCCTCTCTCTCTCCTCTCTCTCTCTCTCTCTCTCTCTCTCTCTGTCTCTATCCAGGCCGCGTACATCTCTCTGTCTGCCAGTCTGTGTGTGTGTGTGTGTGTCAGATGCTCACCGGCGGCGGTCTGCTGTTAGCGTGTGTGCTGATGCTGCTCGTGCAGTTCAGCGTGCACCGGGGCTGGTGTGGACCACGATTGCGTGACGTGTGCACATGTGTGTGTGTGTGTGTCTGTCTGTCTGTCTGTCTGTCTGTCTGTCTGTATCTGTGTGTGTCGGTGTGTGGCTGTGTATGCCGTTGTACCTGTGTAATCGTCTGTGCAGGTCAATCCTATTGCCCCACCAGTGAACAGCCCAGTTACATCTGGCACTGTATCCTCCAACACATTTTTGACCGCCAGTGGCAGTAGCATCAACAGCAATGGTGATCTCCAACGTGGTGCTCTAGCACCAACAGTGATGACGATGACAGCCGGGCACGGTCACATACAGCAGCAGGACGCACTCGCGCTGGATCTCGGCGCGCCGCCCGCGTAGCAGGAATCCTGGACGAGACCGCACTCCAATCGCTCGCTGTCGCCAGCCTTTCTGCAGTGAACCGCCTGCTTTGTTCTCAGCAGCCGGCGTCTGTGCTGAGGTGCTGTTTCGTGTGTACGGTATGCGTGTTGTTGTTGTAGCAGCGGTGGCGATGGCAGTAGTAACGTGCCTGTGATAAACCAAAGGCGTATACTGTGGGTCAGCTGTATGACTCAGTCTGTGGACGGTACCACGTTTCTCCCACGCTGTCGCCAGTAGCTTGTGTGTTAGGTTGTGTAGCGCAAGTGGCAATGCATCATCAACGCCTTTGCCTCTCCAGCTCGTGGTGTGCGTTCCTCAACCGTCGTCTTCCAGAGCTGCCCATGCGTTAGTGATGGTACTCGGCATGACCACAGGCATGGCATTGCTCCCCCTGGCCCCGCGCTCTCTCAACAACCATAGCTGATATCCCCACTGTGTATGCGTGCAGATCTGCACAACTGCTTGCCACGGTCTTCAGTTCATGGCTGGCGTCAGGCTGACTTAATGTCCTCCCGCCCTCGCATCATCGCTACTCACTATTGACATGGCTCCATGGCCAGTTTGGATTTTTGCCTCGACGGCTGCTCATGTCACAGTCAACTGTATCCCCCAGTCATTGTGCTGCCATTGGAGGATTTATCGCCGTTCATCCTCCTCCTCGTCAGATAGTCGTTCTGTCCGCTCTGAGGTATTTCTGGATTAATAAACCGCCCAGTGGAAGCTTCATGCTAGGATTTCCTATCGACTACATACGCCCGCTTTTGTGATCAATGCAGAAGGTCAAGCTGTTTACGTTCGCCTCGTGTAGAGCTCGTGATGTTTACCCACTGACGATTCGTCCGCTGTGTTCGGTGAGTATGCGCTGTCAACGCGCTTGGCCATTCGTCTACTGAACCGCTGAAACATTCGTAACGCTGTTTTCCGTGCTGTGCTAGGCTCGGTACTAGCTATTCCATTTTTTTTAATTACCTAGCCCAAATCCTGCTGTCCTATTTTGTATACTACCGCAATCCAACGCTTATAAGAATGTTTTCTTGTATTCAACATAGACGATTTTTGGCAAACTGTGGCTGTGCTGTGTGTGTGTTGTGTTGTGTGTGGCACACCCACTGCCTTTTCTGCTCACGTCATGTAACGTGTTCTCATAGGCGGCTGCGTTCTTATTTATTTGTCAATACTTCAACATGTTCTTGTGTTCTAGTGACGTGGTTTTCGTCCCGGTATCTATTTATAGTATCAGTCCTGGCATGGTGTTACCTAATTTAGCAGGGTTTGTCGGAGGAGTTTTCCTTGAACAATTTTTTTACCTTTGTGTTTTCTTTGTTGTGTGTTAGTTCGTTCTTCTTGAGAACTGGGATGTCCTCTTTTCTTTCTTTTTTCCCAATTGTTCAATCTCTGTTGGCAAAGTAATGTGTGTGCTTCCACACAGTGCTTTTACCCTGCCTTCTCCTAGCTCTGTGTGTGTGTGTGTGTGTGTGTGTGTGTGTGTGTGTGTGTGTGTGTGTGTGTGTGTGTGTGTGTGTGTGTGTGTGTGTGTGTGTGTGTATGGCCATGTGTCTGCAAGAGATACATTTGATTTTGATTTTTGCAGTGCGTAACGTATAACGCATGTATATCAATATCAGCCAACCTTACATCGATTCCTACCTATACATGCTCGGTCTCAAGAAATGCGAAAGGCTTGAGACCGAGCATGTATAGGTAGGAATCAATATAAGGTTGGCT